CTGGCAGCTAGACCTCAGGTCTCATTGAATTTCAATGTAACCATAAGTTCTATGCTAACAGTTTTTTTCTTTCACACTTCTCACTTGTTGAACCCTCCTTCAGCTTCTTGCTTTCCAATTATATTTGGTCATCAAAAATTTAAATGCAATGTCAATCATCATCTTTGATTTTTTTTTTATTGTCTTCTCTCTTTAATAATGTTTCTTTTCTCAGATTTTTTCATGCTCAGTAACTCCTTGTCTTGAAACAGTGTAAATTTATAAAAAGATTTATCAAGCTAAATTGCATTATTTTTTTTTTTTTTCTGAAAATTGAAACTTAATATTAAAAAAAATATATATTTTTAAGCTGACCTCTATCCATTGTTTCTTCTTTGATTAAAATTGCTTTCTATTCTAACTGCAATCCTGATGGACAATCGAACTGTTGCACTCAGTTTTGTCATCAAATACTTAATTTTTCTCTTTCTTCTTGTGGATGTGTGGGTGGTGTAATAAATAGTGACTTGGAATGAGAAATCAGAGAATCATGTTCAAATTCAAGTTGGGTTCAGTATATTCATTTTTGTACTAATACTGTCGGGAAATGTATGAATCCATTTCCTCCCTGCTCCAGGTATGGGTCAAATATTATGTCCTTTATCTGGGTTAATGTTAATGCAATATTCATTTAGAAAAAGAAAAATTATTCTTAAAATCCAGAATGTGTTTCAGCTTCAAATAACCCATAAGAGTTGTTAGGCTGTAAAAAAAAAAAAAAAAAAGGAGATCGCCAATCAACAAATCCCTTTCTTCACCACAAGATTTTGTCAGTATGAAAATATTGAATATCAGTGCAGACAACAAGGAATTAAAGGCAGAATATATTTCAAAACTTGGCTTCTTTAGACATTAAGCTTTCTAAAACATCCAAGGTATGAGTTACAAATTACAGATGTCAGCATCAAGCAGGTGCAGATGTTCAAATTTCTAGAAAGCATTTTAACAAAGGATGGAAAATGCAGCCAAGATCCAAATGCATATTGGACTAGTGAAAGAAGTATTCCAAAAAGCTAAACAAGGTGCCGAGAAATAGAAAAATTTTCATTAGAAACAAAGAAAAGAATTCTGGATTGCTATATGATATCCATCTTCTTATATGGCAATGAATGCTGGACAATCTCTCCACGGATGAGGAGAAAACTAGAGCAGCAAATGTGGTTCTCTAGAACAATAATGAAAATTCCATGGATGGAGAGGTAAACAACATGGAAGTCTTAAAGAAAATGGAAATGAAAGAGCGCTTCTACTCAGGAAAAAGGCAGCTGAAATTCCTTGGACACATAATGAGGAAGGAAGGCTTGGAAAATTTAACCTTTAGGGAGCATATTGAAAGCAATGGAAATAGGAGAAAACTGTGAGCCACTTCCTAGACAAGCTTATGTGAATGGATGCAGAATGGGGGAGAGTAAAACTGCTAAAAGATGGGATGTTGTGGAGGGCCATGATCCTGCCTGTGTCCTATAATTTACATGACACATAGAAGAAGTCATCTTTCTCTTGGGAATTTACTTGTAGTGATTGTTATTGTTTTGTTTTTCTCATAATTGTCATGTTTGCATTAATATTTCCATCTCTCTCTTGTCTAATATATTTATCCACCATAAAAATAAACTCTTTGTTGTGTTTATTTGACAAATCTGCAATTATTTTAAAATAAAATTACACAAGTGAAAATAACTTAATCCTATTAAATTTGAAAGCAAATAATTCATTTTAAGTGTTTTATTTTCAATGAACAAAGCATTCTTCACTTAAGACAAATGGCCAATCATTAGATTTCAATTTAAGGAATGGAGGTTTTTCTTTTAGTCTTCTTCTTTCTTTTTTTTCTTTTTTTTTTCTTCTTTTTTTTTACATTTCTATCTTCATTTTTGTCGATGTTCTTTGTCTCAATGCTTTTGACACATTTTTTTTGTAAATTGTAGGATTTTTGATGGCGTTGTACAATTGGCACTATGACCAGGAATAATCCTTTTTTGAAACCTAAACTGAACAAAATTAATTATGAAATCTCCACAAATACCCTGAAATGCCTATAATTTATAACAGAAGCCATTTGTTTCACTACAGCCACCAACGGCTTCCCATACTTAATACTTCTTGTTTTTCACTCTTGCGTGGTCATATGTGACGTCACGAGCTGCGACGCAATTTTTGCTTCCGCATCTCGTATATACGGGTTCGTCATTACTTTGAAATTTTTCATGCAGCAAGGGCGGACTATCATTGTTGTTTCATCCGTATGTTGTTTGATTTATTGAAATTGTCATCTTTGATAATGGTTTATGTAAGCCAAAAGCTTAGATTGGATTTAAACATGTATCAATATGGTGTTTTCCTTTCTTCTTTCAATGATAATGAGATTAAGCTTATCAGACAATATGAAAGGAACTTACTTAAAATAAATAAACTTGTCTATATTATTTAATGAAACGTGCATTAATAAATATATATATATATATATAGGTCATCATCATATCATTTCCCTTCTATGCTTATTTTTTTCCTTTTAATGTTTGCTTGTTTTTGGGGGGGGGTTGGGTTTTTTTTTTTAATCATTTCACCCCCAATCAAGGCAATGAAAGCCACTAGGATGCAAGGAGTTACTCAGAGTAAAAGAAACAGGGGACATTAAAAAGAGACAAAAAATGACAATTGATATTGCATTTAATTTTTTTTAAACCTGCAATTGGCAGGAAAGCAGGAAGTGAGTTCCACAGGTGAGAAGTACGAGAGAAGAAACTATTAGTATAGAACTTACAATTACAGCTATCAATTTCAACAGCATAATGATGAAACCTAACTGCCAATTAGTGAGGAAATCTCATCAGAACAATTACCTTAAAAATGTTTATAGAAAAGGCACAGGGATCCTATGCTATATTATGATAGTAGATAAGTAACTGAAGCTATGGTGCCAGTTCAGGACCAATAGCATTGCAGATTCTTCTTTGTATGTTATCAAGAATCTCTACATATATAGCAAAAGCACCAGACCAGATGTGGCAATGATATTCAAGACACAGCTGAATAACAGACTTTTAAATGTGAAAGATAAATTCTGGCAAGAAAAAATGTCTAGAAGAAGACAATGAACCAATTTTTCTAGCAGCAGATCTAGCAATTGATTCAATATAATCACTCCAGTTCATGTTAGTGGAATACGTGAAATCAATAAGGCACTGTGAATTGCTTACCTTATGGTTAGCATCAGCCATAGTGATGGAAGGCAAAAAAAAATTTCTTTCTTAGTTTATTGATTTATCAACCCAGGGATGCAGAGAATTATTATTGCTATTGGATTGGCTGGAATACGTGTGAAATATAAAAAAGACTGTCTTTAATCATTTTTTAATTATATTTTATGTCGATGTTTTTTTGTTTTTTTACTCTTTCTTAATATTATTATTAACTTTCAGTTATAATTTTAAATTATTTTTTTATATTATTTAGTCAGAAAAATGTTTTAAAACCAATGTTCTTTCAAATTAAACAGTTTGTTGTTATGAGTGGAAAGAAAATCTTTTTGATTGCTGTCAAGTAGATTGAGCTAATCAAATTGATCCATGGTTCACTGATCAATTGTTTTTTCTGGCCTGTGTTTTGGTACAGAGTATTCAAACGGATATGCGAGCATGCTGCCTCGATCAGCTTGAATGAAGTTCTTTTTCATATTGTGGATTTATTAAAAGTGGTATTTTATTTGAATCATTTTAAGAACAAATAGTCATTAATACATTGTGTTATTTCAAAGGTTATTTTAATGAAGATGTGGCTGGAATAAATACAGTGTTTTTTTTTGTTTTTTGTTTTTTTAAACAATGTGTATTACATCTATCAATAGAGGTAAAATAAAAACTGGTCTTCTATTTCAAACATGGGTATCCAGTAAAATAAGGTTTGAAGTAATAAAAATATATGATTAAAAATAAATCAATTACATCTTTAGAAGTTGGGTTTTTTTATATTTTGGATATAAAACGGAGCAAGGACAAGACGTGTGCATTCCGCAAAATGGTAACTAGAACCTTCCTAAACTGTGATTCTCTCTGTGGTGGAGTGGTCTAAAGCATACCGGATCAAACAATGGTGTCTCCTACATAAACCTTTAAACTCTGCCCCCCCCCCAAACTTTTTTCTTTAAGATTTCTCAAATACAGCGAACTACATCCAGCAGCAAGGCCTCTGATCAGGTGTTTGGAAGTTTTGAGATGTGTCAATCCACCTCATAATTGCTGTTGGTCCCAGGTTCACCCTAACCCAGGTTGGTAGTACCTTTTAGGGTCCCAGCTATAGGCAAATAATGACCCCCACCCCCACAAAAAAAAACAACAGTCGCAATACATTTTTGTAGGGAAATTACTACCAATACATTTCATAGTATAATTGAAAACTATTGTCAAAATGAAAAAAAATTAAAAGCAATTTGCTATGATTAATTTTAAAATACTACCAATCAACCAACATGAAAGAACTCTTTCATAACATTAGTTTATATAATATTCTACAATTTCTTAAAGAAATCAAACTGTATTCCAAAATATAACTTCAACAAAACTACAACATAAAACACGTATCACTGCCTCTAGTAATTATGTCCACACAGACATGTATATGCACATTGCACAAAAGCTGTATTCAATTGTGAAAGCAGAATAACATATATCTTATTTTTATTACTTCAAAGCTCCCAAGAAAATTAAATTTCAGCATTAAATGACCCATAAGGAGTTTATATGCCATTAAACAAACAATTAATCATATGCAGACTGATAGATGTAATACATACTGTCTAAAATAAAAATGTAGCATCTATTTCAAACATGGGTATCCATTAAAATGTTTAAAATAATAAAAATTCCTGATTAAAAATTGATCCATTAATTCTATAGAAATTCAATGCCATACAATTTAATGAACATCCCCTTTTTGAAATTTTCACCTTGTCTTCAGGCTCATGGCCACATCATGTTGAAACACCGTTTCCTGTACAATCAACAAAGTTAAGCAATGTTGAGCCAGATCCATACCTAGATGGGTGACCGCTTGGGAATACCAGGTGCTGTAAGCTTAGATGTGCGGGTGGTATGGCTTACGACTATATCAGGTTGAAACACCAGTTATCGTATGATAACTAAAGTTAAGCAACATCAAGCATGGTCAGTACCTAGATTGGTGACCACTTGGAAATATCAGGTGCTGTACATTTTAATGGTATAATGGATAATGGCTCATAATTGTTAATTGGAGAGCCAAGTTGTAATTTCAGTTGGGTTTATTATATTCACTTGGGAGAGGTATGAATCCACTTATCTCCCCAGCTATGGGTTAATTAGTAGGATGTATCACTAAAACCATTATTGCCTCCAAGAAAAAATAATAAATTGCATACAAATTAGATTTTGGCATTAAATAATCCATAGTGGTTGATATGCCGCTAAACAACCAACCAACCTTGTCTTCATTTTGTCTTCTGCATACTGCACTGACTAATGCCTGCTTTCCAACAATGCTATTTAGTCTCTGGAGATCCCCACCTCCCAATGTTCTAATCTTGGCTTATGCATGCTTGTACCGATTTCTCCATGTTGGTGCTGATACTAGAAAACAATTCAAAATATTATGACATTTTTGAGGAAGCTGTCATCACTGCCATCTTTTTCCTTTTTCCATTGGATGACAGCAAAATGTTATTTTCAACCAGAACAGCTATTGAGGTATCCAAGAAGAAAAGGAGTTAAATTTGATTCAATTTGGTTGAAGCACAAAGGAAAGTTGATTAAAAAAAACTTAAGCCCAGTTATGTAAGGGTTCAGGTAAAAATAGCTTTTCTTTTTTTCAAGCTAGAAATATAATTATCAAATTTAAAAAAAAAAAAAAAAATATTCTCCTAAAAATCATATTTACACAATTCATAATTGAAAAACTAGATTTTTTTTTTTTATTTCTTCCTTTCAAACCTGGAATCAGATATGTTCACAATTCTTGCATTTCAATATCTTAAACAATGCCCACAAAATATATAAAGTCGGGGAAGTTTGTTGGCTCTTCAGTATCTAATACAAGGAGTATGTCTTAATCAATGGTTTTGGTTTTTTTTTTTTTTTATCAATGTGCAATAAATGGGGACAGGGAGGGGGTAATAAAAGATAGGAATTGGAAAATCATTAGATAGTCAAATAGTGTAAAATTAATTAAAAAAAAAAATCCCTCCCGTCTTCCCACCCTGTCTATTAGACACCTAAACATATGGCCAAATAGTTTCATGTAGAATCCTCAAATTTGGTATGTATAATTATTGAACTCAGGAGGTGGAGATTTTTAATTTTTCTTTTTTCTTTTTCTTTTTTCTAAGTTTCTCATGGATTTTTTTTTTATCGAGTTCACCCCAAGCAAGGCAGTAAAGCCACTAAGACAGAAGGGGTTACTGGGTATGAAAGAATTTGAAAACAGAAACCTTGCTAAGGAACAAGAACAAATGAGTAATTACGAGGACAGTAGATAGCGATTGACATTGCAGTGAAATCTTTGAAGATTAAAGTTGGCTGGAAAGCATGGAGCCGAAAGAAAGTTCAACAAGCTAGAAGTGTGAGAAAAGAAACTATTAGTATAGAACTTATGGTTACAGCTCGTTAACTCAACTGTAAATTGATGAGACCTTGTCACCAGTCTAGTACTGCGCTTAAATTCATAAAGTTGAGGTACCATAGTGAAGAGATTGTCCGAACAATTACCATGAAAGTATTTATGGAAAAGTTACAAGGAAGCAACTTTATGGCAGTGGAAATGTGGCAGAAGCCGAGATGCCAGGTCAGGGCCAATAATATTACTGTTTCTTTGGATTTTATCAAGGAGCTCTAGATAAATAGCAGGAGCACCAAACCATATGTGACAGCAATATTCTAAGCATGGACGAATAGTAGACTTATAGATATGCAAGATAGATTCTGGAGAGAAAAATTGTCTAGCATGACACAGTGCACTTCTAGCTTCCTGCATAACATTAGACAGTCTTTGTGAGCAGACTCACAATGCTGTTTCAGTATACATAGTTGTTATCACTGAAAATAACTAATTCTTTTACTGTTTTTTCTTCTTGAGATAAGTGGTCATCAGCGGCATTGAGCCTCCCTATCTTTGGACAGCAGACAACTGGTGAATCACAAGTATTTATCTTGTTAGGAATGGAAGGCTGGTCAATAGAGATAGTAAGAGCCTGTTTTTTGCAGAAATTTCCACAAATTATATTTGTCTTTTTATTGAAATTCTTTCATTTTTTTTATTGAAATTCTTTAATGCCTATTAGAGTGGCAAATCACAACCTCCAGGCTGTGGGCTGGTACTAGGTCATGGACCATTTGTTACTGGGCTGGACAGAAAGAATAAACCTTTTTTTTTTTTCCATTTTATTAACTATCATGGTCTTGTTTGTTGTATAACCAACACTGACCCTCCCGACCACTACCTCCAGTCTGTGGAAACATTGGCTTGCATGACACTTGTCCACGGTTCATAAAAGTTGGGGACTGCTGTATTCAAGCTTTTGGCTAATTTTCAGTATTGTAGAATAATCATTGTTTTGCTCACTTTTGATGAAAGCAGATGGCGGTGTTGTCCCGGCTTCCAAGGACAACCTGAGTAAAGTGGATAATGGCCTGAATGGTGTCTTTGATTAATTAAGCATTCGCACAAAGACCTTCTTTGTTAAACAAAGAACTTTCTATTAGCACTGCGTGTGACCCATGCATCTAAAATAATCAAGACCAGACATTTTAGAAAACTATCCACATAATTTTGATAGGTTTTTTTTTTTTTTTTTTAATAAAATTTCCCAATTCTTGTTTGGGTTTCACAGAATTTTGACAAACACATTAATCATGTCTTCATTAAGGCTGTGGGTCTGTATTCCCTGCCCCAGAGATTGAATTCACAAACGCTCACTTTAAGCCACTGGGTTTTTGTCCCATTGGTTTGTGAATTTTGTGACATAGTATTTGTGAGTTCAATCCCTGGGCTAGGTAGACTCAGTTAAACAGGGCAAGCAATACCAAATAAGAACAAGACAAGATATCCCTAGGCATGGACGGCTGTACAAGAAAGATCTACACTTGTACAAAATTACCAAAAGATTTCTTCTTTTTTTTTTCTTTTTTTTCCTGTAAGGTTCACCCTGTACAAGTCCCAAGGGCCACTTGAGGTAGTGGGTTAGCAAAGATTAAGATTGTAGTGATCGGGGGAATATCCACTTAGGAGTGTGTTCCACAAAGCAGTGGTTCACAGGAAGAAGCTGTTTGAGTGGAACTTATCGCTGATGAAATACATAGGGAATTGGGTGATTTGCTACTATATAAGTGGCATGGCAGCTCCTAGCTGTGAAGGTTAGACCTAGTGGAAGTTTGTCTGATCACTTTCCATAGAAGTAGTGATAGAGCAGTGAGAGACTTGCCACATCCCACCTGTAAGAGAGGTTGGAGGGTTGAAAATAATTCTTTTCCAACAGATTCAGAGACGCTTTTGAATTCTGTCAAGACTGAAATGTGAAGACTGGGCAGCTCCTGCCCATATATGACAACAGGTCTATTTTCAGCCTGTTCTGGCTCTTATAAAGGTAGAGGATAGCATGTGGAGTCAGGTACTTACTGGAGCGGTACAGGGAGCCAATCATTTTACCTGCATCTTTAGCAATGGATTATATATACAAGTTCCACTTGAGGTCAATTGTGAGTTTGAGGCCCAATATTCTCTCAAAGCGTGGTGCCTCCTTGAAGGGACATTCATTCATCACGAACCTGAAGAAAGCCGAAGAGCACAATGGTGTGACAATAACAACAAAGATGAGGATAATTATCCAAATCTAAAATAATGTAAATTATGGCAAAGTCAAACAAGTACAAAAATTTTAATATCTGGGAAGTGTTCTAACAAAGGACAGAAAATGCGAAAACCGAAATCCAAATGTATATTGGGATAGCCAGATGCATTCTAAAAGCTAAGCAGAGTATTAAGAAACAGAAAAAACTTTGTTAGAAACAAAGAAAAAAAGTACTTATCTGTTATGTAATATAAGCCCTTCTCTATGGCAGTGAATCCTGGACAGTATCCTCAAAGATGAAGAAGAGACTTGAAGTAACAGAAATGCAGTTCTATAGAAGGATGCTGAGGATACCATGGACCAAATATGTTAGCAACAATGAAGTTTTTGAGAAAATGGAAACAAAATGTACACTTATACTTAACATCAAGAAGAGATAGTTGAAATTTCTAGGGCACATAATGAGGAAAGAGAACTTGGAAAATTTGATACTCAAAAGAGATATTGAAGCAAGAAGAAAACAACACACAACATATATAGTGAGCTTCAGTAAATGGACAGTGGAACAGGAATTGTAGAGAGCCATGATTGCCTACATCCTACAGGGATACTGTACATAAAGAAGAAATGAAAGTTTGAACAAAATTAAATTTGATAATCAATAGCAACAAAACTAAACCAGAGAAGCCATTCAACAATATTGCAACAAAAGTGATTCTGATGATCATCATCATCAGTTTTTTCCTCCATCTTTTAAAGGAAATCATGATTTAAGTAATAACCATAGTAATCAAATTAACAATTAAACATTCAAGTTGTCTAAATGATAGTGATTTTACTACTAGTAATAGTAATAACATTTATATGCTTAGTGACTTTTTGATTTGAACAAAACACATTGGTTCTTTATAGAGAAATTAAAGTTGCCATTAGGAGAAAAAAATAATAAAAACCCATGAAGGCAGGAAAAAAATTATCTGTGAATAGAAAGAAAAAATTGAAAACTTTTTGTAAAAATGCACAAAAAGCTAGTAACCATTTTCATGATGTCGTCCACAAGAGATTGCAATTAACTTTTTTGCTTTTCAAAGAAAACAAATTTCGAAAGAAAAGAAGTTAAAAAAAACAAAATAGTAGTTAACTGTGCAAGAGAGTAAAGAGATAAAGAATGACAGAAAGGAGACTAGGGAAGGCAAAGTAATGAGAAAAAATAGGAATAGAAAAAGAGGGGAAGAAAGAAAGATATAGTACATAGAA